TGGCAAAAAATATTTCAAGTTTTCCTGTTCAACATTCTATGATATATGACAATAATTTTTTTGCCAACTATATAATATCAGTTGAATAAACAGTGAAAATTTCAACAAAAACAACAAATCATAAAATGTTTGTAATTTTTCATTGTTCATTAGTGATATTAAAAAACTTAACGCAAATGACTATTAGGAAATTGATAATGATATGATTCAGTAAGTGAATGAATTTTTGTTTTATTATGATGTGTTCAATCTACTGTTGTTAGTTAGTACATTGGTTTCATAAATGAAACGATTAATTAATAACTGATAAATTCGATTTAATTTTTATTTTAACCTGTTACTATAAAGTTGACAATATTTCGTAAATTATAATTGTAACTATCTATGTGTGCTCGTTGAATACAACAATTTTTTATTATTATATATAAACAGGGTGATATTCATATTTGTATAGAACTAAATATTAAACAAGATTTATCTATTTCAACATAAAATCACCCCCCCCCAATGTTTTCTTCTATTAAACATCAATAGAGTTACTTATATGAACTACATAAATGTAGAAATTTATATTAAACTTAAAAATACAAACTGACATATTTGATGGCAAATACACTAACAAAATCATTTCAGTATTAAAAAAAATTCATGGAGACAAACTATAAAATTCACTTAAATAATCAGTTTTAATTAATAAATGGATTAGATTAATAATGTTTCAATAATTAATGATTTAAGAGCAAAAATATTATAATCTCAAATCTTTATTCTTTTTTTAAATATAAGCCATAAATCGATTAAAGATTTAATTAAATTCTTTTGGAAATTTCAATCCAAATAAACATCAATAATTAGGTTAGTAATATGTGAAAAAATCAATAAAATGATTTAAGCATTACCATTTAACAAATATTGTCATATTAACAAGTATAGATTATTTTATCAAAGCTCATATCATAAATATTTGATGAATAACTTAGAGTTCAGATATACAAAATTGGACATGATTAAGCAATAAATGAATAAAAATCTCATTACTAGTATAGGGGTTGTGGAGATTATTAAGTTTTTGATTGAGATCATGAACCGATTGATGTTAGACCACCATTGAAAACCTAGAATCACTGGACGGCTGTTTTGTCCTAGTGTGGGACTCCTCAGCAGTGCGCATCCACGATCCCGCTCGCGGAATTCAAACCCAGGGCCTTCGATCTCACGCGCAAACGCTTAACCAACTGGACCACTGAGCCGGCATCCAATGGTGATAGTGTCTAACATCAACCAATCCACGAAATTGCGCGACCAACTTCCGTTGTACTGAGGTAGATACCTGTCTCTACCCGACATGGATCCCGCAAGCGGGATCATGGATGCGGACTGCTAAAAAGTCCCACGATAGGACGAACGGCCGTCCAGTGCTTCCAGGTTCCCAAAGGTGGTTTAACATCAATCGGTTCATGATCTCAATCAAAAAACCTCATTATAGAATACATTTTACTCATATAAGAATTTTTAAGTTTATACTTTTGATTAATCTAATGTACTTAAATGCCCTGGTACGTTTAGGGGTGGAGAGGGTGTACTCTCTCCTCTTTGAAAAGTTCTCACACGGCCACACAAACATTTCTTTGATGTTTATTTAAGCAAAATTTCTCTTATTCTGTTGAAACGATAGAAATACGCATTGAAGCATTAGTTAACACAGTAAATATCAGATGAGAATCAAAATGATTTACTCAGAAGTGTTACTTTTAAAGCAGACCAAGTCCTTTTTTATTACTAATTCAATTAAATAAATAAATCAATTTCTAGCAAGTAGTCTTTACCACGATTTAAGTTTGTTTAATCAGCGACAAAACATACATTAATTGTCATACAATTATATAAAATAGAGATAAATTGAGCTGCTAGTATATTCTTCCCTAAAAAACTGAACGTGTTACTACATCTAGTAACAAATAATAATAATAATTAATTACAGGGAGTAGAATCAGTTCCTCTAAAAGTGAATATTTGCTATGTTAAATGATACCAACTAGGTTAAGGCCCACACTTGAGGCTTCAAAATATTTAATATCGCTTAATATACTGCAAAGCTTTGAATATCTAAATTCGACCAAATAAATAACAGTAAACAGATATCATATGTGATAATTGTGAATCGACTCAAGTTAGAAGTGTAAAACAGTGTATTTTAATTAAGTGATTTACATGTGTTATTGTAGTGGCTTTGCTTCGTTAATCTATCACCCTTGTAACCGTTATTACATAAATATCAATGGTGTTTAAAATCAGAAGGCAATGAGAAGCGGCGACTAAAGTTTGTTAGCGGATAGTGTAGATCACAAAGCTATAAGCACATCGAGCGAATTTGAAGCAGAGAGGCGAATATGTATGCGATCAAACATAGTGACAAGTTTATAGTCAGATCGCATAAGGGCACAGCAAAGGCTAATAATAGGATATGAGTACATATATATATATATATATATATATATATATATATATATATATATATGGGGGAGGATGAATCGTCGAGTGATATTTAAGCAATCAACATTTTAGCTAGTGGCCGTAATGGTACAAAGAAATATGCGAATTGTTATTATTCTAATGACATTTCCTGTCAAAATAGTAAAAATCCTTGACCAAAACTAACCATGATCGAAATTGGTTATAAGATAGTTGCTATATCATGATTACAGTAGGAATTGAAAATTTTAATTTTACTTTCGTGTATTTATCAGGAAAACGAAGTTCCGTGAAGTCTTAGAACACCACGAAACAATTATTCACCACGCTTTATTCTGTAATAGTCTATGAGTAGAAAAATTATTTTATCTAAAGGAAGTTAGGTTATCCCGATTAGAAAACAAAAAAACCTCATGATTAGAGTTATATGAATTACTTTGCAACCGTTTACAAACACTTTCTTCTAGACAGACATTCTTTCATCAATAACTGTTATTTTAAAAATCATAAAGGTATATTCATTATTAATTCGGTTCATTTTCCAAATTAAAAATTTATTGATGTACCACACCTGTTTTTTACAATATTCATTAAGTATTGAACTAGATTTTGGAGAGAAAAAGCCAAAACTGGGCTTCATAGAACCTAGAAAAGTGTAGCGTTGTATGCCATCCATAAATATAATCAGAAGGGCGTGTTGCGGAGATTTTAGTAATTTTATAGTTGAATTCATGAGTCAATTGAAGCTAGATCACCATGGAAAATTTGGAAGCACTGGGCACTTGTTTCGTCCTAGTATGGTTGACGCTAGACATTAACACCGTTAGATGCCGGCGGACTCAGTAGTCCAGAGGTTAAGCGGCCGCACGCAAGACTGACAGGTCCCTGGTCCAAATCTCGCGGGGCGGGATCGTGGATGAGCACTAATGAAAAGTTCCATACTAGGACGAAGCGGCCGTTCAGTGCTTCCAGGTTTTCCATGATGGCCTAGCTTCAATTGACTCATGAATTCAACTATTATATATATATATATATATATATATATATATATATATATATATCTCAATTCACCTTGACCTTCAACAGTGAAATAAAACGGACTTTATAATTAAAAGGATTAAGTTAAGGTTATCAAAATCAATTGACTTATATGATGAAATGAAAATACTGATATGAAATAGAGGATTGATTTCAGATCCTTAAACTTAAAGTGGTTTAAAACCTTAAAAATAGTGGTCAAACAATTTAAGCGTTTCAGGTGTTCAATAGAAAATAAATATGAGATGGTTTGGATTGTAGACCACTGGACTAATTTGAAATTATTATCTCATCAAGTTATGATGAACAATGATGATTATTTGAAATACATTTTGAGAATAAAGTGAATTAATGAAACTACTTTGAAAATAACTGATGAAACATGTTCTGAGTTAATGAAATCTACCTATTAAGAAAGCTCAAATTGATATGCCTACACACTGATCATATAACAGAGTATTTCTGAAATCATTTCAGAGTTCAGAATATCTACCATCATCAATCTGCTTAATTTACTTTTGAAACATTTTGTGAGTTTCAATCCATTAAGATTAAATGAATGTAACAGAGGGAAAATAGTTAAACATTTCCTTAGATCTCATTTATCTAACGCGAACCTATAACCGTGATTTTGAGACACATTATATTTGAGAGCTATTAAAACTCTACGGCTGTCCAAGCCTAAGTAGATGGAACGGACAGTGAACTTATGACTTCATAGTTGAAAGCCACCGCTTCACACAAAAAAATATCGGAGTTCGTATGATTGCCTTATATACAAAGAAAACTGATCGTCTACGGAAAATTACAATTATTTGTTGACAATGTAGTGCCTATTATCAGGTTAATAATTGTACAGAAACATCACTTGGCTAGATCAAGTTTTTATTGTCTTCAGTAGGACTACATCTTACATTCAAATTTATTAGTCGGTTAGACATGAAGTTATTGGGAAACCAGAGGCGGAGGAAACATATTTCCGCAATTTCACATCTGTATTTTTTCAGCAATTCATACCCTTAGCTTACGCCCGATAAGCATGGCGTGAATTTATTAACAGCTTCTGCTATTTTGCCAAAACACTATTAAAAATATTCACGTGAAGAAACTGCTAATATGATTTTTGAATGGGATTGTATAAAAAACGAACTTACATTCATTTATTTAAGTTATCACACTATATCATCGAGTGTATTTATATGATCTTAATACGGGTATTGCAGCGAAACGCACGAATTGACAAAAAATACACTGTTGTCCCGTGTTCACTTATCTAAGCTAAAAGAACATCAGAAGATCAACTAACCTGTATAGAATTATTATTTATTAACGTTGTATAATTTCAACTGATTGATCCAGCACCACCACGATGTAATAGCATAAAATTGAAATCTAATACGGAAAAGTTTCTGCATTATCTATCGACAACCAGAAATACCGATTTCAACTTTTGACACATTCAATCGACAGGCAATCCTAGATTTGTACTCTGTAGATATTGAATCCAGACTCATTTTATTCCACATATTATATGCAACATTTCTTATTAGAAAATATTGCACACATATCCGTTTTCCTAATACTTCTCAAAACTTCTCGACTAGATTTTACTCGTACGATTCCCTTGCGTACAGTAGAGATGAATTTACCAAATAATATAAGAGTAATAAATATCTGTTTATTATAAATGCTAAGATATATGCATGCTATTTATATTGGTCATATTATGGTCCTTTCTTTATCAACTGTAAATTTTCCCTCCCAAATAGGCATACAATGAAAACAAGAAACGACGAATCACATTTAAAGTAAATTCTATCTTTATGGTCATAATAGTAGTAATAAGAATAATAGTTGTATAAGTAACGAAGATACTGATAGGAGTAATAATAATGAATATATTCCTGTGAATATTTATGATGATGATAATAATAGTAACAATAACAATTCTAACAACTAATATTTGTGTTTCTATACTTAAATAATATAGTGAGGTTGGATAGAAAAAAACAGAGATTAAAAAAAAAGAAAGGAAACACAAATACATAATTTAAACAATACAACATAACATAGATAAGTTTCAACGATAATGAAATACCAGTTGACAAAAATTCAAACCTCAACAACGAAAATAACAACAATCACGAGAGGACAGTTGACAGTAGATGAATGTGAATTCAAAGATCTCTTCATCTATATTACCTAACACGCACTATAAAAATGTGACGCAAGGCTAAATGATCTTCATATCCACACTTATTTAGGTTATACCAGCAGGAGAACAAGAGAGTTGTATATATATATATATATATATATATATATATATATATATATATGCGCGCCAAGTAACGAATGAAAAACGAAGTCTTATTAGGTTACAAATAAGTAAGTTTAGATGAACTAATTACAAATGATTTATCACTATTATCGACTAAAAGATGAATAACTTGGGGTACTGCACACACAAAAGGGAACACAACTATGATGAAAATGACGAATTGTATAGTGTAAATAAATTTAAAGGAAACTCTAGAACAGGAAAAACACGGAAAAGAAAACATTATTGGTATAATGAAGATGATGAAAAGACATTGTCAACAACTTTTGACAATACTGGATTTATCGTTATCTATTAAAGAAAAGAACAGAGAGAAACAACATTCCAACAACAGAAACAAGAAAGGACCAACAACATATACACAATAAACGCAGTTATATATAAAACATGAAGGAAGAAAATAGTAAAATCTAAGAATGATGGGGAACTACAGTTGTATAGTGAAACAGTAACAGTTATAATTATTAACATGTGTAAGATATGAGAAAATGGTATAGTAGAGAAATAATTGTTATCCTACATGTAAACGTACATTATATATACGTAAAACCGCATGTGTATATATATACCTATGGAAACTACAGTGATAACAGAATAGAATTGATTCTTTTAGAAAATAAACGCTTCTCATAAAAAAATATGCATAAAATATCCATGAGTAATAATAGTAATCACGGTAATAATGATAATAATAATAATAACGTGATAATATGTGACATTATCGATGAATTTATTATAACTATCCAATTAGAAAAGTGGAATAAAACTGAAAGGACATTTGAATCGAGCTAATAGATGTATTTTAAAAAAGTGGATATCAGCTGTGTTTATATTCATATAAATGATATGAATAAAATGGACGGAAAATTATTTTCAGTGAAAAAAATATGTTTATCACATATTGTGCGGATTAACTCATGGAAAAAAAATGCAGAAAAATTGAATAATGAAATCAACTTCATGCATAGTGAATTCTGGAAATATTTTGAGCACCTTGATCAACAACAATAACATCTCTACAATTTGATAAAGTTACTAAACCAGCCAATCGTCGAAATGACGGATCTACTTCAATTAAGTATGGTTTAAAAAGGTATCTACTTCTATTTAAAGGACAGAAAATTGCACAAGTATGTGTTTGAAAGTTTGGATCTACTACAGAGAAACGGTTGTTATTGTTACTACTACTACTAGGGACATTAGTGGTAGTGGCAGAGTTAGTTGTATTACACGCAGTATCATTATTATTACTGTTAGTAATTATGCTAGAAGATACTGTATTGTCATCTGCTTCGTGAAAGGATTGTCGACAACTGGAAGTCCACAATGTTTCCGGCCAAACGACAACACCAGAACGTTGTCTATCTGAATAAGTTGCTAGGATACATTTTCCTAGTTTATCGGTTTGAATATTAGCAGACCCAGTTGGTGCAGTACTGAATGACACACCGCCGAATTGACCACGTGATGGAGGAATCCGTGACTTTGAAGGACCACTTGAATGGCGGATTTCAGATAAACTTAAACGACCAGCATTCATATATTCCGAATTTGGATTGTCATATGAATTATTCAAAACATTAAAATAAGAAGTATCCAACGAAGTTCTTGACGGTAATGTTGAGATACGAACACGCAAATGATCATCACCTGGTTGATTTGGAGGTAACAGATCAGAAAGAAAATGTCCATCTGATGAAAATATCTAAATTAGAATGAGGATAAAAGTATTATTTAATACATCCAAAAATAATTTACAATATTTTCTCAACAAGTTAAGCTTTAAAATGAGGAAGATAATGATATCACATTACACAAATAACTTACATACTATACAACCAACTACATGGAAAAACAATACTGGAGAAATCGAGTCAAGAAATCGTATAAACAAATATAAATAAGAGTAGTGAAAGCGAACAACAATGATGAAGTATTAAGGTGATCACGGGGTTACCCGGCTTTTGTTGCTAATGTTAAAATCTTACCAGTGTAGTAAACGAGAACACAAGTGGGGACAATGGAATGTATTTGAACATAAAATTACAGAACATCTTAGTAAAATCTGAGAACCATACAGTGAATACTTAATTTGCAAAATGTTAATCAATTGTCTCAAACTTAACTGTTCCTTTTGGAAATATCAGTCAATCATCTCAGACTTCATTGTTCCTGGATTTCCATACCAATTGCTTTCTGTTCATATTTTTTCCTCCTCGATCTTCTTGACCTTCTGCTGCCAGACATCCTATCCCTGACTAGCGTTATATATTACTTATGTCGATATAATTAGCACACCACACTAGTGACGGTAACCTCGAATGCTTTTTTTCTAATTTAGTTTGTCGCATGACCTATGAACTTTTCTGACTGATTGCCACTAATTTTATTTCGCTGACTTTCTGAATGCTTGAAGGTCGTGGTTTTGTTTATATGGTGAGTTGTATTACTTTAAGTTATTCTGCTTGAATAGTAATTTTTTCCTATATCCCGTCTTTTTCTTATGTTTCCAGCCAATTTGTTGAATTGTGTGTTAGCTGCCATTATCCAGGGACAACCGTTCGTATTAGGATAGTTTAGTCATTCCTTAATTCCCAAGTATCTTCGACCAACCGTGAACCCCAATATACCTGACCGTCTTACCAAGATTTAATACGTACGTGATTTGAGGTAGCTACATTACATTGCACTAATTCTAAACTATGGAGTCTGACTACTAGTGTTTGAGTAAAGATTTTAAAAAATCTTCGACATTGTGATCTAATGAATAGGCACCTATTTCCGTTCATGACAAAGACTGTAAATCTCTTGATATGTAGATTCAAATGTCGTCTTCAAGTACAGTAATCCAATAACACTCAAGTATCAATATCTTTGCTCTCAGGAACGTGATGAAAGATAAATTCTCTATTACCTGTGTCTTTAGAATGTCGTTGATGCCAGAATAACAAAAATACCAAAGTTCTACAACCCTATCTAGAATCGTTATTAACAACCGGTAAAGGCAGTCAGTTAGTTACGTGTTTCTATTATTCTACCACAAGATTGATCGTAAAAATTATGATTATTGCAGACCTTTAATGATTAATGTTGGAAGTCTGGTGAGTTGAAATTTTGTATTTTAAAGCAGTCCTGTAGTCAAAAGTTAAGGTAAAAAAATCCACTTTTGTACGTAAATCATGTAAATTAGGATGGATGATTAAAGTATTATCAGTTTAATTAAAACTTTCTTCATAATAGATGAAAAATAGCACGATAAAATTATTTCTTAAAATATTCATTTACTTATAATATACATAATTGGTAAACTTGGGATACAAAAAAACCAAGCAGAAGGGTAGAGAAAATACGACTAAAGTAACCAGAAAAAGGGAAGGAGGCGAAACAAGTTGTCTATTAGGAGAAAAAATGCCTAAATAATTGTCTGTTACATTTGTACTAGAAAGGCAAAAATCACACTATAATTTCAATGATGAACTGAGTTATATGATATTCTGGTTGCTAAAAGAGAAATGATGTACCAGTAGAGATGAAACATAATCTGATTTCATAGTGAACTAACACAACTAGTTTAAGAGACGAATGATTAGAAACTAAGCGTTATCTTAATCAACGATTTATATATGAAGTAGAAAGTTCATTAGCAGAAAATATTAAATGAACGATAGAATTCAATAAGAATTAAGGATTAAGCATAATATTAACTACAGAATAATAATCATTTAGTTTAAATATCATAGTCTAAGTTAGTATGTCTGAATAATCTACTGTTAACTTGACTATCTGTGACACAGATCCGAATTTCACAGGGAAAGTGACTATCTCAATATTCCAGATACATCTTGCTGAAAGGATGCTAAATCGTATCTTAACCTATCAGAAAATAGTAACATAATTTCAGATTACAAAGACTAGAAAGAAAACACTACAAAGACGATACAACAAAATGTTGACTAATACTATTATCCCATTGAATAATAATTTTACTCTAGTTATTGTATTTACTATAAAATTGATATTTGAAAGATGAATAGAGATCTTTAAAAAAACAGGACTTTTGAATAGATTTAATACAACGTTAGTTCTGTAGCTATGAGGTTCTAATGTAGAAACTATGTTTAAGGAAAAAACGTCTAGTGATCTGTCAATAAAAACAAATCAAATACCAATGAAATTACGGCAAAACAGAATCATATTTTTTCATACAAGTATGCATATTAGAAAATTTTCTAAAAACAAAACTCACCCGAATACACGTTCCTGTAGACAAAATCAATTCTCCAGAGTCAGCTACACACAATCCTGTGATTAATTTGCAAACTTTAGGTTGAGGCAAATGAGAACTAGCTTCGGTTCGAATTAAAGTACTGTGTCTAGTTGGAGTGCTTGCATCACTATCCGCATAAACGGATGTAGTATTTGTCCCAATAAACACATCCACAGAGCAGGTTTCAGGGTCACAAACAAAAACGCAACCAGCTCCATTATCAGCAATAAATAAACGACTAGTTAAGGGACATCTGGCGATACTAGTTGGCTCCTTGAACAAAGGACTTGACACGGATGAAAGTACCTAAAAGGAGAGGGAAAAACACAAATAAATCACATTATTAAGCTAAACATTAAAAAATACAATTCAATAGTAGAGAGAGATTGAAAAGTGAAAATTGTGGAATCACAGATATAAATAGAGAAAAAAATGAACGTAACTAAGTTGCAGCTACTGATTTCAAACTATATCACCCAAGGCCTAGGAACCGTAGATTTTAATTACCACACGGATCCTAATATGGAGGTCTATATGTACCGCTCCCTGTGCTATTTAAATAGGCCATAAATGAATTGACTGAAGTTTTATCTTTATCCGAACTTCCTTAACCTCACGACCAAATTCAGTGCGAGCCAGCACAGAGCATTGAGGGAAACAGATGCTGAGTATGCGTACCATGTGTTCCAGAAACTTCAAACGGTGAAGGTTTGAAGCGTTTTCAGTCTTTTTTTTATTTCTACCTAAAACCCTGAATATACATAATATTACTTAATTAGTGATTCTAATAAGGTCATGAATATATTTACAACTAAATATCTGGAAATTACCAATACATATACTGAATGTCACATAGCTTTGGATTTATGAAGTGATTGAAGGCGATCAGTAAGAAATTCTGAACCCGGGTTTCGTCTAACCTAGTATTCGTTAGGAGTCACCATTAATCTTGGGTGAACTGGTATTTCCATTCAGATCCGAACCCTGATCAGTAAGTATTATAGGGTAAATATCTTAGTCTTACAGGAAGTCAACCACGACACAAAAAGCCCCGGACTGTTTGTAATTGGGGTTAGAATACTATAGACAACATCGGTTCTTCTAAGATCCCAGATGTCTTTTACTAACAAGTGCTAACTAGAACAAAAGCTAGGTTAGTAGTATCCTGCTGACTGTTTCTAACTACAGAAAGTTAAAAACATAGTACCTGCATACCCAGTCTTTTAGACCGGCGGCCACATTGCAGATTGATGAACAGGATTTGATTAATACCATGAATATGGCATTGGTTTATTAATCAGTGTAAATCCCCTCCTGTTTGGTTAAGATATACCAATAGAAGCTCTAACGTGGAAATATCTATAGCACGGTAAAGGTAATGAAATCGAAGGTTCTCTTAAAGGTTTCCGTGATGTAGAAGCTATACACGATTATATTAATTATTAAATTGTTGTGAGTTAAGTATTTAATGTCCTTTGAGCAAAATGTTAGTATTGAACTCTTACCTGTTCAGTAGCTGGGTCTAACAGGAACAGTTGCTTAGCCCGCCAATTTACAATCCATAAACCCTGAGGTGACCACACCATACCAGTTGCAGCTTGACTAGATAATGGTTCACCGGTCACAGTGGTATGAAGTGAACCATCTGCAGGATTTAGTACTAACAGACGGCTATTGCCTGTATCCAAAACGTAAATGAAATCACGAGTTATTGAACAATCATTTTGTGGGGCATTTGATGAGGCTTCAGAAGGACGAACAGGATAAGGTCCAAAAGCTACAGCGAACGGTTGAATCAATCCTCGACCGTCGGAGCCTATTTCATGAATTGAAGTAAAAATTCATAATCATCAAAATATATAAAATAACTTGATAACCAATAACTATTAAAGAATGGTAATGTTATGACTTTAAGTTGGGTCGATTTTTACCCTGTGCTAATTGTTGTGTCCTTGACTGGAAAAATTAGAGAGCAGCGTATTTATCGATTGATTCAATGACACGTAAACACGTACGGACGGCCTAGAGTCTCGATTGGTCTCGCTTCCCTGTCTAGCCCAGTCAGTTGAGCCAGGAACACAAGTCACAGCCTCGGAGATACGAATCATTATATTTCAAACATACTTTGTTTGTATACCAATCAAGCATACCACATCGTACCATAAAATAGAAAACAACATTTTGTACAATATTCAACAAGTGAACAGATATCGACCAATAGGAAATGTCCATTTAAAGTCCAAGGACACCATTGGACTTAACATGATAATTATTGGTCTATTCCTCCGCATCCACAACAGGTAAAATATAACTCTCCAGAACTTTATGTGATATCAGGTGCTTGTAGAAATCTTGTGCATCTATAAAGAGTAAGGAGGTCAATGTAATGTAGACAACAAAGCTCTACCTTATTACGCTAGAGAGTATAACATTACGCATAGACCTTATTAATTCACTTCAATATTGAACAAAAATGTCCGATATTCATATCACAAAAAAAGAATACACACTCATATAACATAATAAAAAGGATTACATGCAAAATTTTGTGATTATCTTAATTGTCCAGCTACTGGATCACAAACAAATCCATAATGATTGCACTTATGAGTTAAGTATTTTACAATCGACCATTCATACATTATTAAGAATATTGACGTGTAAATGGTTTATAAACTTCTGATAAAATTAAAGATATTTTTATTTTAATAATTGAATTCGCGAGTCGATTAAAGCTAGACCACCATGGAAAACCTGGAACCACTAAACTGCCGTTTCGTCCGAGTATCAGACTCCTCAGCAGTGCTCATCCACGATCTTGCTCGCGAGAGCTGAACCCAGGACCTTCGGTCTCACGCACGAACGCATGACCTCTAGACCAGTGAGCCGGTATCCAATGGTGTTAATGTCTAACTTCAATCAATCCACGAAATTGCGCCACCGTCAACTACTGTCTCCAGTGAGTTACTGTCTCACAATGGTGGATCGTAGCGCAATTTCGTGGATTGGTTGAAGTTAGACAGTAAAACCATTGGATACCGGCTCACTGGTCTAGAGGTCATGCGTTCGTGCGTGAGACCGAAGGTCCTGGGTTCAGCTCTCGCGAGCAAGATCGTGGATGAGCACTGCTGAGGAGTCTGATACTCGGACGAAACGGCAGTTTAGTGGTTCCAGGTTTTCCATGGTGGTCTAGCTTTAATCGACTCGTGCATTCAACTATTAAATTACTACAATCTCCACAAAACCCTTTTCTGTAACTGGTTAATCAAGCCTAAATCCGTAGACAAATTGTTTATAAGGAGATAATGATATCATTTAAGAGCCCAGACAAAAGTGCTTGGAATAAAGTTCAAAATAGTAAGTTATTGGATAACATTTAAGCACTTTAAACACTAAATAAAGATTAAGGTACAACCCATGCTTAATTTTTTTCGTAAAATGTTACCTTGTGGTCCATAATCAAAGGTGACATTAATAAGAAGAACAAAACAACGTAGACCAGTCAAGTATAATAATTACTACAACAATGAAATATATATTATAATAAATAATAAAACAAAACTACTACGAAATAATGAAAATGTATGTTTTCGAAGGAAAACATGTTAATTTAGATTATAATTTTTTTTAAATGATTACTTTTGACAACGAACGAACGAAAGCTACCTGGTTTTCTATTTAACAAGCCTGTATTAGCAAGATGCAGTTATAACTACTTCATGCTCAAAATGTAATGGGCCGATTGGTTCATTTACAACCAATCAATCATAACTGACAGGTCGAGAATATACCAGAAGTTTCTGCTATACGTTGTATATAATACCATGTTTCCACTGCTCTATCTTTCGTCACTTAGTTCGATTGGAATAACTATTGTTCCGCCTCAATTCTTGTTCTGATTTAGGACGAGTTGAGAAAGGTATAGTGTTCAAAGAATACTAGGTAGTAGAGAATAAAACATCTAGTCGATCTGAAAGCAAGTAAAACCTTGATTAAAAGATTCATTAGGTCCATAAGAATGGGACTTTTTTAGATGTTCAGTAAATATTTTCACAGTATCCTTGTGAATTTGATAACAAAAAAAGTAAAGTAAAATAATAAGCAAACCGAAAACAAGACAATAAACTTTGTAAATAGGAAAAATGAAGGATATGCAGTGTGAAGAGATCGAATACAAGGAAAGTCAAATCGTGAGAACGTAAGCTTCAAATGTTTATATTGCGTAAAGATATGAACAAACGTCCTCATGAAAGTGACTTATAAACTGAAATAATTAAGCATATTGAGTTGCACGAATATACCATGGATTAACGATATCAGAAATGAAAAAGCATATGTAGGGATTTCTTTATCGAACTATCAACTGAACTTTAGGTGAGAACGTTAATTAATCAACCCAAAAAGTGATTCAGTATACTCCAAATAGTATGATACCAAGAAAGTATTAGCATATACATAAACAATAATAATGCGTGAAAAAATTACCTTCTTTTAAGGACCAAATACGTTTTTGTGTTGGTTTTACATGAACACTGAAAGGTGAGCCACGAATCGGTCTATTGAGAATTTTTACAGATAATTTATGAAGACCTGAAAATGGGGTAATCATGCTAACCTCGTAACAACCATTTCCAATGTCTAATATATCAGTTGGGACTAAGTGACCTCGTGGTTCTGTAAAAGCAACTTCAATAGGATCTGTTCCACTGTTTGATTGAGGACGACCATGATAGTCAACTGCTTGAATAGTGCACTAAGAATAAGAAAGAATGGAGTGCGAAATGAACAATGTATTCAGTTTAAAACAGATCATTAAAAAATCCCTCTCAATGAAGTTGTTTACAAAAACTGAACTGTATGCTTTGCTTAAGAACAAATGTTAGGAGAGGTCAATATTTTTTGAGAGACAATAAATGAAATTATCGTACTTAATGATTTGAAGATATAATAATGTCGCTCATGATGTTTTTTGTAAATAAATATTTTTGTTAGGTATGAAAAATGTACAACTAACTGAAATAATTTCTATGCTCCAGACCACAGGATAAATGGAATATTCATTTGATAGTGCCTGCAAAAGAACATTCTGCCGTATTTTATACTAACACGATTTCAAATGAAACGTTAATGATCTGTATAAGAAAATCATTCTTCAGTATAATCACTTCAGGAAGAATATAAAAAATTAGGCGTAAACACCATGGAAATTAAGTAACACAATACAATAATTGCTATCTACCTATAAAAATAAATGAATGATTAAGACTTGGGTAGATCGTAAGGGGATTTCAAAAACCAAGTTTTTTGGTATACTTTTACTAGATTATAATCTTTGATCATTTTGGTCTTATATACAGTAGAAAGGATTGTATACGAGTTTGTAAATATCATAAGATCAAAATATCGAATTTCTGAGTTAAAAAATAAACTACCTTTGAAAACAACCTTAAAGAAAGCTCAAGTTTTACAACAGTCGATTGACTCAATAAAATCTTAGCTGTTATGCTCAAATAAGGTCACTTTAAAAATATGTACAAATTAACAGACCACAAAAATGTCTTTGATCTTTAGTCTTAGAAAAGAATTTCCAACTGGAACACAAATATTACGTTTGTAGGTTGAAACTGTGCTCAGATTTTTTATAATCTTAGCTAAATTATTCCAACTTAAACATGTACGTATCCGGAAATTCGAATAAAGGAAATAAACGAAATTTTTTAATAGAATAGTTTTGTCATGTACAGGTCGGTCAATTCAAGTCAACATAAACACAGTAACAGTTCAGAGATGAAGACAAAAAATGTTTCATGTCTGAAATTATTTATAATTTCAATGTCTGGTTATGTATGCTTATTCATCAATAGAAACAGAGCTGTCCTACGGAAATTGTGACTAGTAAAAAAGGAATTTTCAGGTGTCATAGATAATGGTAGGAAATATTGGTGTGGGGAAAGAATGGTAAATATAATTTCTGGAATGTTTCTAATTCAATAATAGATTGAACATAGAGCATAAAGTTTACTACAAAATATAGAAGTGTAGAGAACAGACGTAGTAACACTTATTACCCCTTGATTAGTGAAATCTATTGAATAAAGGAAGGCTCCAGCACTTAACACAAAACAACAATTATCGATCGTATTTAAATCATATTTCACTTACCGATAGGAAAACAAATATTAATAAGTCTGGTGGTTCTTTGAGGGTACTGGGTTAAATTTCGTGTGCACAGAGTAATCAATAGTCTAATATACGGGCGAAACAGCTGCTTAGTGCTTTTTAGTTTTAAATAGTTTCCCACATGATATCGGTTTTTAGTGAAAAATATCTCTAAATTATAGACTCTTTACAAACAATCTCCAATTTGTTAATAATTTCTGTTTGGTCACTAGTGATTAGCCTTAAAATAGACCTCTAAAAGTTGTAATTATAAGGTTTAATCTGCAAAGTTAGTGAAGTCGAAAACGAGATAGTAACGTGTTGATGACAAAAGTTTTATAATGCGAATCAATAAAAGCTCACAGTATGGACCAGTGGATGACGAACTGGCAATCGGAAGGAAACGTGGTTGGGACTAAATTCGAAGGTCATTGCTAATGTTTGGTGCAACTTATTTATCGACTACATGAATTATGTGCTCAACTGAGGCACAAGGTTTCCGTGAGGACTGGTGATATTACCTGGGTACGTAAAGTGAAGTAGATGGAATGGTGTTCGAATATGTAACCTCCTGGTTGAAAGTCGAGTAGCTTCACCATTGAGCCCCACCCCTACTTAGGATTAAGTCTGGATGTTGTAGACTTAGTCCGTATGAGGTAGTGGGTCCACGATACTGACCACAGTAAAACTATAAAGAAATAATTTTCTAGTGTATTTCAGTTTTTACTGGCTTTCTGTCTGACATAGTTCGTAGTGAAAAATGTAGAAAAAATCACCCTAATATGACAGCATATCATAAACGGTCATGCTACCCTTACACATGCCATCTACCTACATACTGCTATACCTGGGATTATTTAAAAAAGGAAATAACTAATATTTTAAAATGTAAGAATAATCCAATTACTTTTCTATTCGCAAAAGCGACAAAATCTAGACAATAAGAAAGGTAGTGTGCGAATAATATGCGATTAGCCTTTTGAAGTATGATGACAATGACAGGTTTAAGACTAAACGTGTTATCAACTAGAATAATTATGAATAGCACGATAAAGTATCTCTTAAATTGTACATGATTGAAAAGTTTACCTAGATTATAATCATGAAAATTGCTAGCAATGAGATGACAGCTTGATTTTTCACAGTTATATAGAAATGAACAAAAGCGTTTTTTATTATGTAGAACAATTATTGTGTATAGTGTAAAATATTGATGATTTAGTTTGATCCAAGTGATAATATTGTCAAGATTATTCTACTATACAGAACAAAATGTTCATAGACAGACTCAATAATTTTATTTATTTATTTTAACACAGATATTAGTACAAGGAGGCACCAAATACATATGCGCCACACAAATATCATTTGATATGTGTGAGGGCTGTGATAATACCCAGGTACCCAAACCGAAACAGGTGGTTTTCTGAGGGGCCACACCCCGAGCCTTCGGCCTGAAAGATCTGATCCACAAGGCAGTGGAGCAACGTCAGGAGATGCAGTCCCATGGTAACCGGTGACCAATTGTATTTTTTTTAATTACGAGAAAATGTTACAGAAGGAAAGAGGCGAAAATATGAAATAATAATAGGAATAAACATTTGAGTATCAGTTTCATATTTCTTATCTGAACGAACAGAACGTTTGTCTGGTATCCAGATCCCGGAAACACCTTTATCTTACATAACTTTTAGGGGATTGTTGTGTCTTCAAAAATGAATACCAGAGTTGTTTTAGGCCGCGTGTGGTTGGGTCCTTTATTATGAGAGAAGTCATGTTATTTGATCCGATTATTGACTTATTCGCTCACATCTCCTGTAAAACCGATAACTTATTTCACCACTCTAAAACGGCCGGGACCTTAATCCTTATTAGTCTTCGAGATTCTTGAGATCCAGTGCCCAAACAAAGAACGAAGGTTCAACACAGATTAACTCGCTATTGTACTTAATTCATTTATTACTCAAAACCCGTACACATAATACACCTCAAATGCCTGATTGGATACCAATACAGATAAGAATTTGGAATGCGTGAACAATTCATTCATAAGTGATATAAAGACGAAACAATTATTCAATAGGTAAAGCTTTAACAATAAAGAAACATAACAACAGCTTATGGGTCAGACAAACGCTTACAAATATCCGAATATAAAAATACGATTATCCAAGAATTTAATGACCGCAAAAATACAAACGATAATTTCCCGTAGGACAGTTCTGAAAGTTTAACCCTACACAAATCCTCTTTGATACGACAGTTTTTATGAACGGGATTTTTACTGTGAAACTCAGTGAACATAATCCCTACCAACTGATGATATGCAGTGATACGAAACGGATGAGTGATGCCTGCTAATGAAAACGAATGACTAACACAAGCCTCCAAATGATTTTAAATTAAAAACGGTCAGGAAAATAAATATTTTTATACAAGAAAGTTTCATGCTTATATACAAAGTATACTTAATAAATTATTATAAACGATTGAAAAGAATTTTGTAGATCACTCGCTCTTGAATCACTTAATATCTTTCCCATTGTATCAATAACCAGCCGAACATGTCATCATCGGACTACAATATAACATCTTTGAATAATGCAATCAGTCAGTCAGCTACAACGTAGGGCCAGGCATATATATATATGCATCGGTCCAAGTTGCCATACCTCATTAGCACAACAAGAAGAACACCGAATTCATAGAAATAATCACTTCAATGGTACTATTGTATAAAAGAAAGATTGTGTATAAGAATATAGTACAGGAAGAAAGAATTACTTCGTAGAAAGAAAGATATAAAGCAATCTTAATCCCACGATTTGAGGGAAGATAGATAGTGTATACACATATGCCATTGTGATCGATTCTAAGTCATGTCACCCAGAGTCTCCAACCATTGGTGACGATAGTCACGCGGACCCAAATCAAGTAATCTGAATCTACCAACATGGCTAATGCAATGCATACGAAAATATACGTTTTTACAAATCTTCCTCAGTGTTTTAAAAGTGCCTTGAAGATGGATGCTACCATGCAAGAAAACTATGTCTAGAACCTACAATTAACTGTAAACGAATAATTGGAAATATTGCTGCATCATTTAGGCTAGTGATTATATATGTACTAATACGATTTACTGAATATAACTTATACTGGCAAGTAATGGTAAACATTAATTACATTTCCTACCTCAAATCTATGTAATTATCAGTTTATATAAATAAAACCCAGTCATATAATAAAAGCATGCTAAAAGAAAAAATACTTACTTTAGTATACAGATGGGTAAACATTTCATTTGGTAAACGAGCAGTACATAATGCAGGGTAAGTTGTACTAACAACTAAACGACCAAAGCCAGCAAGACAACGAGCAATATCAGGAAGGCTAACTTGATGAGGAGAAGACTGAAGAGTTGTTGAAGAAGACACATTCGATCTTTGATGATGATTACGATGATAAGATGAAGAGGATGGTGATTCTGATTCATTATAATTTGTAACTGATGGGGATGATGAACATATGGTGCGTTTCGAGGCAGTACAACACATGTTTATATGATTATGTTGATTGTATGGACCGACACAGTCTTGATAACAAAGGAAGGCATTTTCACGAGGTTCAGTTAAACCACTAATCGAGTCCAATTTATCATTCAAGTAACTTATTGTTTTTGTAATACTTCGTACATCCATCTGAAGATTGAAAGGAAAGTACGAAAAGTACACGGAAATATTATCACATTAAAAATTATGCAATTTATACGTATAAACTTGAGTAAATTGATTGAAATTATGATATATGGTAAAACCCATAAACAAAACGACAAAGAGAGACCTAAGAGAATGAAACTGATAGTTGTTAGACATTACCCTAAAATAAATGGAAAGTTAACGACTTTTCGTTATCTTGGCTACACCAACCAATGTATATGAAGTAACTTTTGAAAAAACATATCTCCTAGGTTTCATAATTATCCATAAATTAGTGATCTACTCGGTGAAAAAAGTTTACTGGTTGACTATGCGGTCTTCTGAAACTTAATTAATTAGAAGTTGTACTTAGTCATTATTTGACCAACAGAGTGGTAAAAATCTGATCAACTTTATTCATCAGACATCTACCAAATCGAAATGGACGAATAAATAGGGTATGAAATTTGAAGGAGAAATATACAGATGATAGTTTTTACACTTACAAAAGGAACAGAGGAAAGTGAAAACCGATTTCTATTATTTTGACAGTATTATTATGAAATGCACCCAAATGCCCTGGTATGGACGAGAGTTGGGTGGACCCGCCCTCCCTCTCGAAATGCTCTCACATGGCCACGCGTATACAACCTATGCCAGGTTGTTGCCTACGAAAATGAGAGGACGAAAAGCGAATGTCCAGAGCTTTAACCGGATCCCAAACCAATGGTGCACATGGGCTCCAGTATCCTGAAGGAACAAATGGCGTATGAACTAATCGTTGGTCACCGGCTACCAGGGGACTGCATCTCCTCATGATGATCCACTGCCTTGTGAGTCAGACCTTCAGGTCAAAGGCTTGGGGTGTGGCCCCCTAAAAAACCACCTGCTTCGGTCCGGGCACCTGGGCAGTACCACAGCCCACAAACAAATAAAATGAAAATGACTATATTTACTGAAAATTCTATTCTCGCTTCGATTTACAGTCAAACAATTATTATTATTATTATTATTATTATTATTATTATTATTATTATTTACTACGTCATTTAATCACTCTTTTATTCCCACTTTATGTATCCTTATTTTTCGACTTATACAGCAACTCGCCTATGGTGGAAAATCGGTTCTGTCTAAACGTTCTCGAGTCACTGCCTGGTTGAAAATTGTATGCTACCATCCAAATACGAATGCTAAAGCAGTTTTCCTGAGACCACGTGAACCATTCAAACTGACCGCCTTCAACGTTTGCACACTTATGCAGGTCGGTCAACAGATAGTGCTGGCTATGTCTTTGGAAAGTCTTAATATCGACGTTTATTGTCTATCCGAGACCCGTATTCAAGACTCTAGGGAAGTACTACAAATTCGCTCTCCATCTGTCGCTTCAAAAAGCTTGTTTTACGTGCGCTTATCCGGGGACATTGTGGCATCTTCGTCTGGTCTTGTTGGCGTTGGTGTCGCACTAAGCGCTAGAGCTGAGGTAGCACTAATCGATTGTATCCCCATTAACAGTCGGTTATTTGCTGTTAGATTAGAAAGTTTCATCAGAGTGAGAAGAAATCGGCGTGAGAAACGATGTCTTTTCGTCATCTCCGCCTATGCCCCGACAGATTGCAGCCCGGATGCAATCAGGATGAATCCTACCACCAGTTAACTGTTCTTCTCCAAAAAGTGCGTTCGACAGATATTGTAGTACTAGCCGGAGACTTGAATGCTCAGGTCGGGTGTCTAGGCACAGAAGAGAGTCGTTTAGGTGGCCGATGGGGACTTCTTGGTCGCAGGACAGATAATGGAGACCGTCTACTGCAACTATGCACAGACCACAACCTGTTTCCGGCTAGCACTAAATTTCGGCACAGTCATCGCCGATGTGCCACCTGGCGTCCTCCCTCTGCATCTCAAGCCTGAACTCAGATTGATCACATCGCGATCAGCTACCGCTGGCGTGATTGTGTACAAGACTGCCGCTCCTTTTGGAGTACCTATCTGGACTCTGATCATGCCGTGGTCTGCGCCAATCTTACTTTACTTTTCAGTGGCCAACGAAGTGACCACCACCAAAGGATTGATGTCGGCAAGTTGGTTGCAACTTCTGTTGCTAGTAAGTATCGAACCGAGCTAGCTTCTAGGCTAGCTACCATTCCACCGAAAAGTATAGATGAGCATTGGTCGCAACTGCATGACACCATGAAACGTCCCGTTTTTAAGCACTGCGTTTCTTCAGGCTCCTTACAACTCATTGAAGCCCGTCGGTCTACTCTAGAAAGCACTGGAAGGCTATTCCGTCATATTATAGAACTCTTTAGAAGTGAGCCGATCCACTGGTTCAAAGGCTAATGGGTCGCTAAGAGAGTTGAAATCCCAAGGTCCCTTCACCAGTGCGGTCGTGAATACACACTACTGAGTATCGCACTAAAGTGAAGCAGCTGTCCAGCCCTTCCTATTTAGCAACTGTTGTCTAAATACAGTTGGTTTGCAATGTAGACCATCAAGATTTGACAATCCTCATAAAACAAAACTACATAAAAAATAACAACTTATTAATATGCAAAAGTAGTCTTACTGCATACATTTCGTTCTTGGTGACTTACATTAACAACTAATACTATAACTAAATAGCGATGATATTAGTCTATATTTATTAAGTCTACTTCGTCTTTCTGTTTGCGTTTTGAACAAAGAAAGAATAATTTCTATGGCATTTGTGAATTTTTTCTTTTTTCACAGGATTACAGTTAAATCACCTACTTTTTATAACAGTTGGACAGAACTTCTTGTCCTTATACAACCGATTTAAAAATTTGTAAATGGTGATTTCCTGCTATTTGATAGTATGCCAGTAAATTGGTGTCGCAGACCTTTCCTTAAAGTCGTACATGTGAAATAAAGATATTATGATGTAGACATTTTGGGTTAGACAGTCAGTCAATTAACCAATACCAACGAGAGATTTAATATTAGTTTTAGAACCCACATCTGGCATCACATCGGCACAGTGGGAAGAAATTAACAAGATAAGAAGTATAAGATGGGGAAGCAATATTGAAAGCAATAGAAATCTGGAAATGTGTTACACAGTTCGAGAGGAACAAGTATTGTAGTGAACAGAATACCAGTGGGGACAATCGAATGTATTTGACACAAAATTACAGGACTTGTTAATAAAATCTAACAATCAAATAGTAAATATGTAATTTGCAAAATATTAATCAACTGTCTCATAATAACTCAGACTTCATTGTTCTTACATTTTCATACAAATTGCATTATGTTCCCATTCTTTACTGTTCGATCCTCTTGTCTCTCTGCTTCCAGACATTCTGTTCACGAGTGACGTCATATATTACTTATATCAATATAAGTGGCACACACCACAGTATGACTGAAGATTCGAGGTAAGAGATGACAAGGAATGTTGATGAATTCTGAAATACAGCCTTGCAAACAAATATCATCCGAAAGGTAAAGATATGAAATAAGTCGACCACTAACTGATTTTTATGACCGCAGTTATAACCTTGAGATAAATTATAAGTGATTCTAACCAATCAAGTGAACAGTCTATGTAATTCCTAAAGATCGCCAATTAGAATTAGATGTCAAAAAATGATATGATGAAATGAACTAACTATTTTATTCCTAATGACAAAATAATAAATAAGGTGGTCAACTTTTTAACTTATAATCAAATACTGCCTAAAATGATACGATGTATGTACATGAAAAATAAACCAGAATTCCTGTCAATCATGTTTTATACAGTTGACATTTATTGTCAATAGTGCGGATAGTACGTTTATTCAGTTAAGACCTTTTCTGTGCTAACATTAGACTGAAGGATGCCTTAGTTAGCATATCCTTTAATTAAACAAGCTTAGGTTAAGAGATGTGATTGATATTAGCCTTAATTTCTCATCACATGGCTCACAGTCTAGTCCATGAACGTTTAAGTAATAGCGAAACTGATTTACTTAGAAGAGTATCTACAGCCTAGTAACCTAATGCAACGTTAGATGTAAAAAATAGTGGATGTTATTAAGTGTTAAACAATCGAAAACAAACAATTCAGTCAAAATGACTGGTCAACCAGTAAATTTTAACAAGAACCGAACAGAATAACTGGGGTATTGTTAGTCAGCAAATTATGAAACAGTTAAACAAAAAAGGATTACTTACAACGCCCTTTAAACGATCACATTCTGTACGAATTAAGTCTCTTTCTGTTTCAATTAAAGAAAGTTGATCTGTTAAGGCACGTCGTTTTTCTTCTCCAAGTCGTTTCACACAGTCTAATAATTCTCCTTGACGATGTTCAACGAGTGCCAATATCTCAGAAAAACGTGAGTTAATAGACTAGAATGGATGAAATAAATAATAAGGGATTACGTATTGAAGGAACTAAAAAAATGTAAAATAATGAAATGTGAAAACATATATCTATGAGGAGTGATAATAATCAGAAAGAGAGAAACAGCACTGGCTGACATATTAACTCAAAAGAATGATGATTCGTCTTAAAAGAAGTCATAAATCGACCATCCATCTGTTTTATAACCAGTTTGTACCAATAAACAATGATTGATATGATAGTCGGTGAGATAGTGTGAGCAAAAGCATACAGGTTACAGAAAATGTGCTGTAGAATGGCATCATTTATGAAAAAATTATCTCCACTGTCTTTAAACATACACCATATAACTCTAACATTACTTTTATGCTGATATCAATGAATATGAACTGAACTATAAAGGCATCCGAAAAATTACGTTATCCTATAACTGCAACGTTTTAAAGACGTGAAACTTTGAAAAACAAAGCGTTACACTTCTGATCATTAGAGCTCAAATTGACGTTACAACTGTATCGAAAAACAGCCTATATTGGCATACACCAAACTAGCTTTGTTAAACGAAAATTACTTGAGTGTTTTACAATAAAAACAGCAATCATACTACCTTAAAGCACAGGCTTTTTGACTACTTACAACGACATATCAACCAATCTCACTATAAGTGAAAAGATATTATCCGCATACTTGATATGGAAAATTGTTCCGAAAAGTAATAAGTTTATGTTGTTACTATAAACCTATAATTCCATCCTTTATCAATGATAATTAACAGCACCTACATTTAAATCATATGATATGAAAGGGGAATATATCCCGAAGCATTCGAGAAAACTGCAGCCAAAAACCAAATGAAAAGGGTCAGGGTTATCCATACAGCTTAATGTTTCCAGTGATTATGCCAAGAATTATATTTGGATTTTCTGCTAGCCATTATCACCTTAAAACGTTTACGAGCCGAATTCAGATTTAGAAAATTATGAATAGAAGAACGAAAAGATAAACACAAGATTAGGTGTTGATAACAGAAAAAGGTTTTAGGCAAGAGAGAGAAGAAAGAACGAGAAGTATAAGAATTAGCAAATATATTTGTTGATCCAACTTGCCATAATTCATACAGTGATAAAGAAAAAGAAAAGACGAAAGTGATTATATTAACACTGTCAGAGGACCAAAACGAACAACACAACAAAGTATATACAATAAGTACGATGGAGGATGGATACGTCCGAACTTTTAAGACTGATGCCCAACCTTAGTGCCTGAAGTTTACAACTACGGTTAATAATTGAGAAACGGCTACCTGACTACATTAGTTAGATCAATGGTCAAAGGATTCATGAACGCATATTATGTTTTGGCCGGACCACCATTATCCATTTTCTAACTCAATACTAAGTCGATCAATATAGTATGGTGAGTGATGAATAGTTTTTTTATTATTTTATTGTCTTATTTACCATGTAAAAGTCCGTTTACTTGACTTTGAGTGTGTGGGCTAGTGATACCAACTGATTGTCCAAACTGAATTAGGTGGAGCGCGGTGTCAGAACCAGCTAATGAAAGTCAAATCCCATAACCACAGAGCGAATGCTCCACTGTGATGACTGAATTCGGATTATAAATGTCTCAAAACATACATCTGGTTAGGCTTCACAATCTTATTAATTTTATTTATCACCTTAACTCAGTACTCAACCCTTAAAGTTACTGTTGTTCAATTAAACATTCCACCGCCCACAAATGCCCTGATACGGCCGAGAGTGGGGAGAGTCCGCTCTCCCTCTCGAAATGCCCTCACATGGCCACGCATATATAGCCCCTGCCAGGGAAGTCCTACTCACTGCTTTTTCGTGGTGTGGGTGTTGTTTACGAAATCGAGAGAACGAAAAGCGAATGTCCAGCGCTTTGATTGGGTTGGTGGACACGGAGAGTCCACCTAGGGGAGTTGGAAAACCCTGATTCCAAACCAAGGCTGTACATGGGCTCCAGTATCCTGAAGGAACAAATGGCGTATGAACCAATCATTGGTCACCGGCTACCATGGGACTGCATCTCCTGACGTTGCTCCACTGCCTTGTGGATCAGATCTTTCAGGCCGAAGGCTCGGGGTGTGGCCCCTCAGAAAACCACCTGTTTCGGTTTGGGTACCTGGGTATTATCACAGCCCTCACACATATCAAATGATATTTGTGTGGCGCATATGTATTCGGTGCCCCTTTGTACCAGTATTTATATGTTCAAATAAATAAATAAAGACATTCCACCATACCCAGTCAAGATTTATGATTGAGTACATGAAATTAACGCATACTATCCACCGCAACCAGCTGTTTGACAGCCAGAATGTAAAACTAGTTTGTGCCAATATTATCTGAAAAGACAATGACAGCTTTACGATTAAGCCGCTCAGCTCAAACGATATGAATTGACAAAAACTATCCCCTTGAGCTACAAATATCCACTATTTTAAAGGTAAATTATTCAGGTGTTGAATCTGAGTTCGCTTAGCGCGGTCAACAATAAACCTTTCTATAGAAACAAATTCAAAACGAGACTTCTGTTAAACTAAAACCGACATTGTAGACGTTTTATTGTTTCAAGTTGAAAAGAGTTGACAGGACAGAAAAAACTATTTTATACCAGCAAAAGTAAAATTCAGACGTTATACAGCACTAATATTACGCATGATACATTCGTATTCGGATTGATTGATAGTAACAATACACGAGCTTAAGTCCCATTTAAATCATTAAGAACAGGTATTTTTTATATTACTGAGATGTTTGTGTTTAATTAAATAAAGGTAAAATACAATGTCATGGCATTTGCATCATAACATGTAGACACTAAAATGAATGTTCATGAAGAATGAAAACTAGTTAATTATAACAAATTTTACTTATAAATTTAAATTATTTCCTCATAACCCTCAAAAGCTAGAGGTTCATTTTATCCAACACGAAGTTGAATGTTTTTCTTTAAATCTAACGACTTACTTCAACACATGAACTAGTATTATTTGTTAAACGTTCTAGTTCACTTGTTACGGCTTCTTGAGCACAATTTAACTCTTGAGTACATAAATGCATTTTATAGAGCATAATTTCTGAACAACGTTTTAGTGCAACGTTGAATGTGATCACATTATGATTTAGGCCAGTACTCGACGATGAACTTTCTACTTGTGTAGTAATATCTTGATTTCCATTGTTCACTGGTAAACATGATGAGTCTAAAAAGTTAACAAATTCATTTAAAGGAATCAATATTCTTTATTACCATTCACATGATTTTGAACAGCATGATTACGACCTCGGCATTCACTGCAAAATACCATATCACAAGTCTCACAAAATAATAGTTCTTGTGATGGATGTATGCAACATTTAGGTACAACATCTCGACGATGGGTAGCAAGTAGGTCTAATAACTGATTTACTATAAAAGCCGGAGGAAATGAAGCTGCACCACCTGATGGAATAGCAATATTCTCCCGGCAAATTGGACAACGAAATGTCTCTGACTGAGTCTAAAAAAATAGACATAAATTCAAAATTACTTAGAGAGTAATCATTCTTCAAGTTGTTTTATTTTACGCCGTATGAAAAAATGTGTGAAAAACAGATTCAAACAAAATTACAAATTCAAAGTGATTTTATCGCAGTTAATAGTTAGTAGATAATCACATGTGAGTATTTTATACATCTGTGGGGTTTTATTAACAGTTACTGAACAATGAAAATATGAGTCCATATCAAACTAATAATCTCGCAATATTACTTTCAAATCCTACTAAATATTTGGAATTAGGGATACAAGATGTCTTCCTCTTCATGACAATCAACAATTGGGCACCACAACAACTAGTTACTGATTAGCACTCAGTGAACACTAATTAATACTTAGTTGATACAATTCACATGAAAATCATAACGATAAAATAAGACCGAAATAAGGGGTATGACGTTAACAGTAAAAAGCAAAGGTCCGTATTGATGATTTATTTTCCAATACGACTCATCGTCGTCAGACGTTAAAAGACCCAAAGCATGAAAGCTGAATACTTGTTTACCTAGAAGATTAACGGCAGTAATCCTTATAAACATTTAAGCAAGCTGGACTTTTTCATGAAATTAGAGCTGGTGAGGTTCCTCTACTTTGGTAAGGAAATATTTGCAACACGATAGTGAACTCTATAAAACGAACATAAAATTATGATCCTCGAACAGAAACATTTCCTGGATCAGACAGAGGGCGATTTTAATTGAGACGAATCTATCAGTGAAACCTTGTGCTGAGGAATATGAAATTCCAGCCTGATGGTGTAGAAAAGCCGTATGGCTGAGGATATTTCTTACAACACAGATTATGCTGAAATATGACTAAATGAAAAAGCTATATTAAAGGCTTAGAGTATGAATAAAATTACTGGAAGTGACAGCTAGGACTTACTTCATTTGTAAGGATCCGATCTAAACACGAACGGCATATTGTGTGTGAACAAGGTAATAATTTGGCAGCACGTTCACTTGAATTATAACCACTGAAACACGTACCACACGTTAAAAAATTATCTGCGAAGTCGTCCACATTAATCATAACAGTTTCCACTAGACGGGATGACATCTAAATATAAAAGAAACAAATTTTGAGCAGTAGTGAAATTTCATATCCCTAAATAAAAAATTAGTGAGATTAAAAGCTCCCTAAAAGTTCGCAAATGATTGGATGAGTTGACGAAAGTGAATAAATCAAATGATAATTTACAAATTTATTTCACCCGACTACTTTATTATTCCCAGTCGTAATCCCCTTACATTTCTATATGTAAGCTAATCTCTTCAGTATTTGCTAAAATGAGCAAAATATAAGGATTAAATGACCATGTAATCCCGATGGGATTCACAGGACCACAACGGTGGGTAAGGTCGATAAGAGGACTGAAAGCATGGTCTCTAAGAGGAAAAAAATGAAGCATGTTAAAGGTATCACCTTTTACTCAGTGTTACTACGGAAGGATCAGAAATCATTTCACGGAGGTGTCATGATCTTGAAGGATCAGTTCTAACAATCAAACCTTAATTGAATGGAGGGAGAGACCTACGAATTAAGTTTTCCCCATTATCTGAGACATTTTGTTATAGTTATTTTGTGACTACTATACAAATAAGCATGCCACTTCTTTACAAAGAAAGCCTATTCTTCTGGCTAATGTCCTTGTAACGTTACAAATCATTCGGAGGCGTGAGTAAACTATGTTATCGTGAGCATTCATCGCTCAGACACATAGTACCATTATGTTTTGTCTATAGACCACTATCCCGCTTCCCGATTTTAACGACTGAATCTTTAGAATTCCACACCATAACTAACTTATGTCACATTTAGGTTTAGGTGAAGTCAGTAAGCATAACTGAGCTTCCACAGGTTAATTTATGTTTGACTACAATCTTACTTGACTGATGTTCACCTACTTTGATCTTAGAGATCAGAAGAATTTAAAACTACGTGTTATCATTGAATTTTACTGAGGAATGGATTTAATTTGCGATTATTTATTTCCATTGGATAACAACTCATCTACAGCTCTTTCATAGTTATGAACTCAAAAGCTCGGGAAAATTATCGACCAATGGTAGGATTTCTGGCTCCCAAAAACCAAGTTCAACATGTATCTTAAAGGTAATATTTACTTACTATAACCAGTTGTAATATTTAAGGGTTTCGTTTTTAGCCAAAGCTTATTTATTTAGTTATTTGAACACAAACATTGTTACAAGGGGGCACCAAATATATATACGCCACATTAGTCAAAGCTACTACATTAGAATTACTTTGAGACATGTGAAAACATTCATAAAAAGGATGAACTTTTCAGCAAGATATCGACCATTGGCTTAACATGTACCAGGCATACAAAGTACATGGAAGTTAATGTTGATCAATAATCGACTAAAACGTTTTCGTTTATTTACAGTGAGTAACAGACTATACCCTGCCTTGCGATTTATAAAAAACCAACTAACTTACGCAACCAAGATTTTGAAGGAAAATATTTTATTACCTGAACATACTGCAGAAGGTACGAATGTGTATCTTTTGGGTTTAGTACAAAACTCACAAACTAAAAAATAAAGTCCGGAGCTAATGATCAAACTGCCTGTTAATGTTCCTTTACTCACGGTACGATCACAGAGTTAAATGACATTGTGGTCTTTTATGAAGACATACTAGTGTGAAATTCTTTAATATAAACTCAACTGCTTCACACAGTCAGATTAAAAGTTAATTTGGGAACAGCAAAGTTTTAAAAACTCTGTAATATATATTATATGTTAAACTGGGGTCGGAAGCCAAGATAAACTTAAAAAGACTGTACATACCATTGATGAGGTCATCTCCTAAGGGACAAACCCATACGCAACAAGCCAATCAGGTTAACGAGAACCAAACAACCCGCAGTAACAAACAGTGTCCAATGGAAATCCTCTAGATTACGCGGTATTTTGTATTTAATCGTACGGATTTGACTGAATGACTTTCTGATCAGTACAACCTAATGTTGCTAACCGTATGTATGTTTTGATATAACTCCGAATCGCAATTTTTTTGGTTAGAACTCTATCCTACGGTTTCAGTTTGGAAGTAACAGGAGGCTATGTCCCTGTATTAGACCTGGCAATGATGGTCTTTCAGTTTCAGTTTCAGTTTGGGAAGGACAGGAGGCTCGATGGCCTATGTTAGTCCTGGCAATGGTGGTCTCTCAGTTGATCCAACTTTCTTTTGAAAGAGTCGACGGATGGAGCCTCAACCACGTGCTGAGGTAGTGAATTCCACTCGTTGATGATTCGATGGGAAAGTCGATGGTCAGCTGATAAGTAATTTGTTCTCGGCTTATGAAGTTTTTTGGAGTGTCCTCGTAAATTCTCTGTTTTGAAAGACAAGAAAAATGAAGGCATATCAGGTGCAAATTTGGCACTAAGCAGTTTGAAAACTGTAATCAAGGTGCCTCTAGTTCTGCGATAAGACAACGGGAAAAGGTTCAGCTTGACCGCTTGAAACCGATCGAGCCTTGCGATTGCGGCTTCTAGGTGTTTCCTGTTGGATCCCATCTGGCAGACGGGAAACAGAAGACCCTACTTTTCTTGAGCTTTTGTTTGAGGCAGGCCCCTTTGGAGACTGCTTTTCCTTCTTTGACGGGCCTGAGTCATCTATCATCGGACTAACCTTAGTTTCCTCCACGTTGATTTGCGTGTCAACAGACCGAGTGCTGTTTGACGCGTTCCGACTATGCTTGCTAAAGCACTTCTTTGCAGCATCAACCAGTGAGACGGCCTCGGTTGATCCAACTTTCTTTTGAAAGAGTTTACGGATGGACCTTCAATCATGTGTTGAGGTGATGCATTCCACTCGTTGATGATTCGATGGGAAAGTGAACGATCAGATTCAGATTAATGTAGTAAGGACAGAAGGCCTACAGCCTATGTTATTCCTTTTCTATTATGCCTCTATGAGTGTCCAGTCTTCTCTTGAACGAGTCAATTGGAGGTGCGGACACCACTGCTTTGGGTAACAGGTTCCAAGGATTGATGACTCGGTGTGAAAACATGCATGATATGGGTATTTTGTTTGTTTCTCTAAGATGTCCCAATCTAGTCGGAGGAAAAAGAGTAAAAATGCTAGGTCCAAAATCATTTCTTAGCATAAACGCAGTTTTCAAGCCTAGTTCCCACCAAGGTTGTGCATACTGTAGTGAACATAGTAGTATCTGACTTGGTGGATATCCGTTTTAAAGCCCATAGGGTTCCAAACTCCTTAGCTGCAATCATCCAGCAGTGAACCATGGTCTTAAGATCATGACTCCCTGTCACCTCAAGATCCTTATGAGACCGGACCATGGGTACAGGCGCTTCCTCTATGCTGTACCTACTAATCTTTGTATCCCCAAAGTGCATGTAAACACACTTCTTGCGTTGATAGGCGTCAGTCACTCTTTAGACTAGTTAATCACATTATTTAAGTCTACCTGAAGTGTGCATGCATCTTTTTTTACATCGTCAGCGTATAACAACATCGCGTACTCAACTATACTTGAGAGTTCATTTACATACAGTACAAAAAGTAAATGACCTAAAAAACAGAGTCCAGCGGAACTCCGCTAAGTACTGGTATCCGGTTAGGGTACTTGGAATTCACTCCTACTTTCTGTCCATGATCTACCAGGAAATCCTCAAGCCATTTTAGGAGAGGTCCGCTAATGCCAAGATTTTCCAACTTCAAGGACAGTCTATTTGTTTACACCTTATCACGTGCTTTGCTGAAGTCTATGTAGACAACATCCACTGACTTTCCATTGATCCCTTGCCATAAGGAGGTTTGTTACGCAAGATAAATTTTCTGAAACCGTGATGTTCTCTGTTTAACAAGTTGTTGGTTTCCACAAATATCACTATGGTCTTTCTGACTATTCTTCCCAGTATTTTAACTGCGACACTGGTAAGGCTGATAGGTCTATAGTTTGGTGGAAGTTGTCCTGGTCCTGTTATATATATGGGAGTAACAATTCGATCGTACCAGTCCATAGATAACACACATTGGTCAAGTGATATATTGAACATCGCAGTTAGTGTGCAGTTTGTCTCAGGATTTTGGGATGTAGTTCATTCGGTCCTGTTGACTTTCCCGTGTCTAAAGTGCTAAGAGCCTTAAGTCCACGATGAGCAGACGGTTTGTTGACTTTGTATTTGAGTCTAGTTCTTCGTCCAGAAGAGGCTCCTGAGTGAAAAATGCTTAATCTTGATCACCCTCTATCATTTCAGATCCACTCTCTCACTTAATTAGTTTGGGAATCCCATGCTACATCCTTGTTCTGTAATTTATATACGGCATTAGTCTCATAGGCTATTTGAGTGAAGATTGTGCCAACTGCGTTTCTTATTTTCTCCGAGTTTTCCGGATTCCAATTGTACACTTCTTTTTTACCGACCCGTAGAGTTCCATAGTACTCGCTGTGCCAAGTCTGATGGCAACGTTCCAACATTTCTTTTGTCTTAGTAAACGTTGAATATCGCGGTCTATCCAGGGTACATATGGTTGAGTTACCTGGTTGTATAACTGCCTGAGATGAGTCCATGCCTCTTCTACTTATGCCCCTGAATCAATTACCCAGTTTTCAGCTGATGCTGCAGAGTTTATCGCCTCCATATCTGGATTCCATATTTCAGGACAGGCCGGCGCAACTGTTCGACAGGCCATCTCAGCCATAAGCTTGAATAAGATGACTTCATGATCACTTCTCCCTGAAGGTGATAGAAAAGTCATTTGACCGACACCATCACCGTATGTGAAGACTAAGTCCAAGAGAGACGAGGAGCTCCGTAGGTCATGTCTGGTGGGATCTCTAATGTGCTGTAATAAAGCTAGTGCAATTAGGATTTCTAACAGTTTGCAATCAACTGACGTTATCGACGACCCTACTTCTAAATTTACCCAGTTTATATACGGTGCATTAAAGTCGCCTACTATAAGGCTTTTACTCACAATACACCAGGACTTAAGTTTTTTTTAGGAAAACGTCATCCACCACACATTCTGTACTGTGATATACTACAACTAATTCAATATCTTGCAGTCTACATTTCAGCCTGCAGCGCACCGTCCCCATGTCCCTGAATCATGTGACACTGTTTCAACAGTTCGTATGGCTAGGGTACTTTTTGTGTATAGGATAACGCCGCCTCCTCTACGGTTCAATCCTGAGGTTAACCATGTTTCTAAGACAGCAACAACATCCGTTTTTTTCTTTATCCACCATTGTCTCGAGCTCCGCCATTTGTGTAGCACACCTTTAATTTGTGGAGAACTTTCCCCTGCCGCCCATGGTGGTTTGAGGATTGTTTTGCTTCAAAGTTTTACGACTTGAAAACCCTTAAGTACGAGGTTTCTTCCACCGTTTTGGTGGCACTCATCTATTTCTACTTCTGCAGCTCATCTATTATACACACAACCAGGCTGAGATCCTCACGGATGTATATTTCGGATCCAACCAGTTCGCGTGAGGTTCCTAGCATCAGGTTTCATACTTCAACCATAGCAAAGGTAACCTTCAAGAGGCGGATTTTCTGGGCACTTTCAGAATCCACCTTTTCTCTTATTCCATAAAGCTTACGGATGCCAAGCCCCATGTCTGTTTCTAGGGGTAGCTTGCTTATTAAGGACTTAATATGAATAAGACCGTGCTCAAATATGACCTCTAGTTCCCTATCGGAAGATTCTCTTAACTTACGAAAAATGACTGGCCTCTCAGAGAAGTCTGTCTTGGCACGCTGTGGAATTTTAATTCCTGGAATAGTCTAAACCTGAAATTCGGTTTTTGGATATATGTCATACCTTACAAAATCCTCAGTATTTCACAATCTGTTGGAGAACATTATTTCTGTAAGTACCATTTTACAAGCTTACAAGTTATGGACTGTGGGTAAGGTATCGATGCAGTGTTTCTATTGACTATAGTATAAAGCATAGTTTGCTAATCAGAGTATAAGCATTAAGAAGGACATAATGTAGGATAGTTGTTTACTAAAGCAGGCGAAAAAGTATAGAAGTACATGAGTTGTAGATAAGGTAACGAGTGGAGAAATAATATTAATTACTAGTCAACATAATGTACTGGAGAGTAGAGAGATAATAAAGAATAAACAGGAAAAAACTCACACTAACTTGGTGATGATGTTATTTTGTCTTATCATAACCAGTTGATGGGTAACATGCTCCATAGATGCAAGACCACTGGTAGTAGGCAGTCGATTGCGGTCCTCTTGACTTTTTACAAAGGTATTGAGTGTGCCTTAGCAACCGAGTTTAGTTGAACAGTATCGACAGTTTCAATGAGTTAACTGTCTACTTCAAGTAAAGAAATAGGGTGGAAAAAGTAGCTAATACAACTGCAAAGTGGGAAAAATAAGGCAAACTGAACTTCATGTCCATTTTGGTCTAGACATGGAGAGAGCCTATGATGTCTGAGTGGGGCGCAGATGTGTTCGTACGTGCTAGATCAGTGCAAGTGAGGGCTTGATCAAGGAGTTTTACAAACGTATGTAATTCATTTGCTATGCGTATTTTGGAGAGAGGACTGTTCCATATTATTGCATGCCTGATGAGGAAAATGTTTTTCCGAGTTTTTGATCTGTATTTCTGGACTTTGACGGTAGATACTGTGTTTCGAAGTTCGTATCATTATTTTGAACTTCTCGATATTGGGATTTTGTCCCATCAGTGCTCAGTAACCTAAATCTATCACACATTCTTTTCCTCTTACAGAGAACAGTGCGAACCTCCCTACTGAACCATGGTGGAAAGTTTCTCTCAATCCCTGGTGTGGTCCGAGGAATGTGGGGTGTGTTAACTTTGAAGTACGAATGTCGAAGTACATCCCTAGCCTTTTTATCTGGGAACTCTGGCTCTATTGTCCAATTCACTGACAATG